AGAGAGTGACACCTATTGGAAGCACTGAGAAAGAAGGCTACATTTGATCCTATCCTGCTGGTGGAAAGACCCCAAGAGGTCACCACAAAGACAGCACCAAGGGGTCTTTCCTCCTAGCCCAGTAGTTTCCTGATGACAACTTGACATTTCTCCTGTATGACTAAGATCCAGCACTTAAGCCCTGAATTGGGGAAGGAGGTGTGGACTTCTTAGTTTCTACTGAAAAGTTCCTCGTTCCCACCCTAAGCTCTGATTGAAGAACCCAAGTTCATACCCTTTCTGGTTTTCTGGAGTAAACTTCAAATCTTGGGCTGGGAAACATGTTTCCTATAAGGACTTCTGACCAGTTTTCCTGGTTTTAGCTGTAAACATCGGCCCTGTCCAGAGGTGCCCGCTTTCTCTTGCTCTTCAGGCCAGGTTGTGGTTTGAGGAGTGCGCAGATTGCTCAGTGCTGGCTTCCTCCTCCTGGTCTCTCTGGCTCTTGGGTTTGGGGCACTTTACTGCCTTTGTCCCCACAGGTCTGGGCTCAGTGTTTGCAGCTCTGCTCTCTTTGCTTTTTTCCAGCTTCCTAAATTTTGTAAACTCTCTTGATCACTATTTTCTCTTTCCCATTTGTCTGTGGGTTTTTACCTTTTGGGTTCTTGTTTGTCTTAAAAAAACAAAAACAAAACACTTGTTTAATCTACCATAAATCTATATTTTTTTGTTTTTGGTCTTTTTGAGAAAGGGTCTCCTTGTAGCCCCAGCTGGCCTGGAACTCACTATGTAGACCAGGCTGGCCTTGAACTCACAGAGATCCTCCTGCCTCTGCCTCCAGAGTTTTTTGAGAAAGGGTCTCCTTGTAGCCCCAGCTGGCCTGGAACTCACTGTGTAGACCAGGCTGGCCTTGAACTCATATAGATCTGCCAGCCTCTGCCTCCTGAGTGCTGGGATTAAAGGTGTGTGCCACCACGCCTGGCTAATCTACCATATTTTAATCTTGTGTTTCTTCTAGATTTTTTCCCTAATTACCAAAAGGATGAGTTCATGGTTCTGAAGAGAATATTTATGGAGCTACATAAAGACTATGGTTAAAAGTGATGTTTAACGAACTAGATTAGAGGTGGGGTGAAGATTCAAAGCTCTGTTCACCTACTGGGGGACATTTGGCTACTGCATGGCTAACCACCTCCATGAAGCAATCACTGGGAAGGGCCTCCTCATCACTGGTAGGCCTGAACTTGAACTTCAGGTTGTTCACAAACTGAGTGTGTATCCAGAAGCAAGTATTTTCATTTCTCTATGTATCAGTAAAATCCAAGGGCACCTCAAAGAATGAATTGTGATGCTGTGTGCAAAGTTCTTGAACAGAGGGAAGCTTCTCCCCTTCCTCTTTTAGACTAGGAAGAAGTCACCTTGACAACCTTGCCAGGATTGGCAGCTCTGCCTGGCTGTCCTCCATGCCCCTCCCACTCCTCAAACCTAGCCTTTGGTTCTATTTTGCCAAGTCCTGCCTGCTGCCTACTTCCACAGGTCCTGCCTCTGGGAATCTGTCAATGCTCTCCTTTGTTATGGGACTCAAATGTTCTGTCTTCCTCTTTCAAATGGCTTCTACTGGAAAATTAGGTGAATAGGACAATATTTCAAAAATCCTTTAAATTTGTTGACTTTGATCCTTCTTCAGGTGCTGAATCCTGAATTTCCATAGGAATAGGGAATCCTATAGGATTAATCCATAGGAATTTCCTCCTGGTCAGCAATGCTGTGGTTAAAAACACAAAAGAACAGGTTGCCACCCTTCTCACTCTGCCAAATGGTGTGGGATGGTGACCCAGGCTTTCTTCCTGACCACAGAGATGATAAAGTAGCAGATGGGGGTTGGAGCTAGAGCAGACAATGGGTGGGAGGAAGGATGGGAAGAACAGTCATATGGGCTTCACAGAACATGGAGCATCCATCAGGTCAGTCTTCACTTGCTCATCAGTACCAGAATTTGTGGTGCTCAAAGAATGCATCAGTCCTGCCTTCCTCCATTGCTTAGCAACAAGTCTCTTTCTCATTCCCTGCAGGCGCTAAGGGGTCCAGTTTTGAAGGTGGGGGACAAGAGGGTGGACCAACTTAAGGCACTACCTGGTAGACATTATAATGAGACAATCTGGTGCCATTGTGCAAGAGGAACCTGCTTCACAAATGAATGAGACATTTAAGAAAACATTTATTTTCATCCTTTGGGGCTTTATTCAGTTCTGTCTCTGAGAAGTACTGTTTACCTTTGAGATATATATATGTTTGTACACACGTTTGCCTTGCCACGATGGGGTGTCTGGGAGGATGAAAAGGCACACAGCTCACGCTGGCAGCTCCTGCAAGTGCTGTTTTGGACACTGATTCATGAAAACCCGTTTCCTGAGATGTTCTATGGGACCCCAGTGTTTCTTTTGCCAAGCTCTTTTATAATTCCCATCTTGTGTGAACAGCTCCATGTGCCTGTCTAGGGCCTCCAAGAAGCAGACCGTAAAATGAGATTAATGGTATAAAGAATTTATTAGGGGAAATGCCCAGGTGAGAGGATATTGGGAGGAGGCCAGAAGTAACCAGAGACTGTGATTCAAGGCTGATGTCTGAGTGAAGGAGAGAGGGAAGGCAGATTGGAGGACATGTCCTAGACTGCTATAGAGTCTGAGGAAGAGTCCATATGGTGATGCAGGGGTTCTCTTTAGCATCTTGCTGTGTTAAGTCAACAATGTGGGCTCTGAGTTTGGCTCTCTTTGCACTTGGAGGTCTTCAGGGGGTGTCCACAGGGGACTCCATAGCCTGACTTGAGGAGGTCAGACTGCTTGGAGTTGGGTTGGGGTCAGGCTAGGGTTGGGGAATATTTCATTGGGTTGGGTAGGGAGATCTGGAAGGTCAGTGGAGAGCCACACAGTGAGGGACTGAGCAAGGAGGTGCTTCTGGAGAAGGAATGAACTTAGGCACAGAGGCCCATAGTTGGGAACTGAAGTGCCCATAGAAAACACTTGTATGAAGGGACAAGTTGCTCTTAGCAAGAGTTTTTCAATCTCTCCTCCTGTTGTTTTTCCCTATACCATATAGCTGCTCCCTGATAAAGGTCTCAAATGGAACTTGACATGGGAAATACTGTCATAGAGGTTTTATTTACAGCTGTGTCTTTGTCAGCTTGTACTACGGTAACAAAACACATGTGACTTGATAATTTACAAATAGCAAATATTTATCACTAGAGTTCTAAAAGCTGGAAAGCCCAAGATTAAGGAAATGGTAGATTCTGTGTCTGATAAGCACTTGGTCTCTGTGTTCAAGGTGACACCTTCAACACCATGTCTTTACATTGCGGAAGGTAGAAGGGCAGAAAGGAGATGGATGCTGTGTCCTCACAGCAGAAGACAATGCACTCCATCAAGCCCTTCTGCAGTGGTCATAATACCATCCTGGAGTGATCCATCCTCATGACTTAATCACCTCCTATAGGCTCCACTTCTTAAAACTGTCACATTGTCAATTAAATTTCATCATTCAAGACCACAGGAACCATTTATATTCTTTTTTCTTTTCTATAGCACCTACCTATTCCTTCTCCATGTAATGTCACATTAATTTCCATTTCATCTTCTCGGTGGATACCATTGTGTTTCAATTCTCCTGTAGAAGGTGATTGTCATATGATTTTTCCTGGGGAGGCATAAATAAAAGTGTCTTCAATCCTGGAAGGGCACTGATGTCAGACCAAAGAAACAATCCCATCCAAGTCCAGCTTGGAGAATCAACAACATTAACGAGGTCACTTTCAGGAGCATGGATGAAGCCAACTTGTAGAGAAGCATGGGTGACACAGGGAGCTGCATTACCAAAAAGCCCATTCCAGGATGAATGGCAACTCATGGAAGCTACATCATTAACGTTCCCTAAGCAACTTAGAGGCAGCTATACCACCAAGAGTCTCCCCTCCCCCAGCAATTGTTTTCTGGCTACATAGCCTTGGGGAGATGCTTTCCGAGTCTTGCAACCTTCTTGTGAGTTTAGTGACACTCCATTCTCCCTGGTAGAATGCTTCAACCTGGCAGAAACAATTATACAATGGCTGTGATGTCAGAGCCATTGGCATGTGGTCTCCAAGCTGAGGTGCATCTTGGGCTTTCTCCTGGTCATTCATCATTTCTACTTCTGAGTCAAAGCCGGAATCTCTGTGTCCTCAGAGAACGAAACAGCTTTTGAAGTGCCATTGCTCCCGCTGCACAGTGGCAGCTTACAACACAGTCTTTCTCATGCTTCTGGTGGTGATCAGTGGTAAAGTGGGTGTTTACAAAGGACACTATAATCTGAGAGAATATTGGGAAGAGACAACTCAGAAGGGATCTAAGGCCTCCTTGAGGGATCTAGATGACCCTAGAGGGTGGAATATACTTATGTAAAGTACTTTGCCATGTTATCTTACTTACTTCCCACTACAGACTCTTGAGGGTGGGCAAGAAACTAGGCAACTTATCTCAGGTAGCAGTTGGTGGAGCAGGATCTCAACCCTACCTGTCTCCAGAAGAGTCTGTGCTATAAAGGTCTACATTGCCCTTTAACTAAAGTGACAAAGAAAGACCATTGGAAAGTCAGGTTGGCCTGACCTAGAATAGCTGAATCACCAGGTGACACTTTGGAGGGGTCCCTTGAGGACCCTGAATCCCCACCTTGGAGCATCCTTACCCTTGTGTACTCATTCATCTGTTGTGGACACTGTCACAGGAACATACTTGCTTTCTGGTTCCAAGCCCTGGCTCCATAAACCAATCTCTCTTAATTAGCTTGGCAGCTCAACACCTTTGGTGTATCTCACTCATTGAATGCCACGCCTACTCTTTTGGATCCGGTTATAAAGTAAACCATGTTCTTTGAGAACTGCTGCATACAGATGAGTCGGTAGCCAGTCTAAGCTGACCATAGCCTCATAAATACCAACAAGGCCCTGAGGGTGTTTAGCTAGGACACCCAAACTTTTGGATCAAAGTCACAAAGGACTTGCTCACATCAACAACCTTCTGCTTTCTTGGGAACCAAGAAAATGAAAATTTGTCTCCACATTTACAAACGCAATCCTTGAGGTAAGGGGAAAAATGTTCCATTGTCTGTTTGCAGAAAAAGGAGTTAATTGTCTTGGAAACTTACCCTCTTTTCTCATCTGTAATCTAGACAGACTTGTCCCTCCACACCCAGGGGATAAGAGTGTGGTTTTTAAAGCACGTACTGTTATTGATCTGTTGGTCACAAGCGGATTACTAGCAGGGTTATCCGTCCTGCCTTCCCTGGGCCACTTCACAGGCCTGGGACTGGAAGCCTTTTGAATCTGGTTACATCACTCTAGAGTCCAAAGTCCTCTCTTGGCAGCAGGATGTGCGTAGGGCTCCTGTGTCTGTCTGGCGGCATCCTTTAATTGCCACAGCATCTTGTAAATAGTAGAGCTCTGCTCAGAGTTACCCTACCTTGAAGGTAGAGGATAAAGGTGCTACTGAGGTCTAGTATTTAAAAGGCGAGCTATAAGACATTTCATTTCATGCAAACATCTTTGCTTCATTTTCCCACATAGTACTTTTTGGAATTTTGTATCATTTTGAATACATGTGTTTAGATCTCTTAATGTTTGTTCATCTCTGTAAATATTGTTGTGACAAATGCTCTGCACGGTAAGGATGCCAACTGTTTCTCTATACTTGGACAGACCTGGAATTCCTTCTCCAAAGGTCTGTGTCTTGTAGATTCTGTTCATATGAACTCAAAATAAGATGATATTTTGTAATTAATAGTGATTAGGAAAGAGGCATCCTCTATCTCTTAGTGGGGCATAAAAATACAGTGGAACACAGTGTGTAAGGAAGTTATGACAGACCAGGGCTTGCCGGACACTCCTGCCTGGTACCAAGGTTTCTCTTCAGCCCTTTGCTGGGTTTGCATTGTCTTCCTTTAGGATCTTCTGTGTGAATGTGTTCCTGTGCAGTCAACTGTAGCTCTAAGAGTCATAGTGGGATAGGTTTATCTGGGAAAATATCAGTTATCCCAAGTTAATTTTTTCATTTTTCTTTACATTGACACTCAGTTCAGGGAGATGGATTTCCTTCTGCACAAAGGAGTGACCAAGTTCATTTAGGCCGAAGACTGAGAAACAAACAGGGCACAGATTGCTCATGAGGGGTCTTGGAACTTTTGATGCTGTTGTGGCTTTTGGTTTGCTTTGCCTTTTCCTTTTTAAATTTTAATGTAAGATGCTTGTAACGGCCATTGATGTTCTGCTCTGGAAGCCTAGAATCAAAATTCCCTGTGCACATCCCTTTCCTTTTATCTGCAGGACATTTTTTTTTCTGTACTAGGTCGCAAATCTAGCCTGGACCTTTCACAGCTCACTGATTTCCCCCAAATACAGCTGTGACTCACATGTTTAGCCTTTTCCCTGTTTTGTGGCTTCTCTAGACCAAAACCTTCCTACCTCTTCTTACAGAACTTTCTCTGGAATAGTTTATATGTCCCATCACTTTGATAACCCACATTTGACTCCTCTTCCCCTATAATTAAGTATGCTATTGGTGACATTTGCCTTCTCTTCATTCTTGCACTCATTAATATTCTGCATATGTAAGCATACAATGAGCAAACTTAGACTCTTCTAGGAACTCTGCTAGGTCCTAGGACCGCACAGCATGGTCCAACAAATGCCTGTAATTGGCAACTGTGCTGTGGAGAACTGGCACTTACAGTCCACGTTACACATGTGGCGTATGTGGCAGAAACACCATGGCAGCTGGAGACTTCTGCAAAGCAGGGAGTAATGAAATCATGGCTGCATACCCTGTACTCTGCCTACCGAAGACTTCACAGGAGTATGATCCTAAAAACCTTAGCTAGATAAGACGACGCTTGGTCAGGGCAAAAGAAAGAAAATTCCAGAATAAGGAAACAGTGTTCACAAAAATGTAGAGGCATAAGGGAGAACATGGCATCCACAGGAAATGTCAAGTCAGTGTAGCAGGGTGGGGGTTATGATGGAAGTGGGCAGGTAATATAAGACAAAAGAAGCCACAGAGCACAGGTAACTAAAGGCCCCACGTGGGTGCTAAGGGGCTCAGCGTATCTGGAAGACCTAGTTATGTGAAAATGAGGCTTTACAGTGCACAGTGGGCTGGAAAACCAAGTAGGAGGTCACTAAGAGGCAGAAGCCTTGAGATCTAGCTGATGAAAGTCTCAGAAGGGGACTGATGAGGACGAAATACAAACTGAGACCTGGCAAGGTCTCCAAAGTTCAGATGAAGAGTGAGCATACTTTGAATGACAAGGAGTATTTTCTTTACACCTTACTTTCACACCTCCATCTGGGCCTTGGCCTTGGAGAGATGGGGGTGGGGGTAGAGTGGAAGGAAAGCTGGGGGATTCAGGGATTGGCATGTTGGGCAGGTACCTGTTTCTCAGGGCCTCCTGTCTATCTCATGTCACCGAAGTACAAGCTTATCTAGGGAGAAGGTGGTACTTGAGCCAAGAGAGAAGTTGCAACCTGTGTCTCTTTCCCCTGGGTGTTCGGGCCTTAAGTGAGGCATTGCCATGGATCTAGAGTTCGCTTGGTTTGTGAGTGCTAACCCCTCCGTGGCCCCATAGGACACAGTGCTGACTTAATGCAGCAGTCTAAGTCTGAGACAATGCCAGGAGTTACAGAAGAACTGCTGCAAACTAGAGGCCCTTTTTTTTATTGTATCTACCACTTACTTGCCTGAGTCAGCCACAGGCAAGTCTTCCTGGGAGATCATTCCTCCCAGGAGGGCTGCTTGCTCCGTCTCTGTCAGCAACAAGTTCAAAGGAAGTTAAATGAATGTTTTTGGTGTTTTCCTTGTCTGTCTGCATGGAGCTGGATGGTGTTTGTATGGTCTGCTATGGTGTAGAAAGAAGGTTGCTGTTTCAGGCCCTCATTGACCTTGGGGCCCATGGCATCCTTCAGAATGTCCAGTTTGAGAAGCTCTGGGTCAATACATATCCAGTTCTATGGGACCCCAGGACCCTCATTCATCCCTTCCCCCTCATTTTTCAGATAGTCTTGAGCTGTGTGGCAAGGTCCTACAGTGCAGAATGTCTAGAAAAATCAGTGTTCCTGGGTCCAACTCTTGACCTACTTCAGGCTAGCCACTGAATGGCCACCCTAGAACCTTGGTCCCTGGAGCTAGCTGAACTGACCCTTGATGGGACTCAGAGTGATTTCAGGCTAGCTTTTGTAATGTTCAAGAAAAAGAACATGAAGAGCATGTTCCATGTTTTAATCCAAGACACCACTCAGTGAACTAGCTCACAAATCGTGGTTGGCCCAGTAGCTTCTGAAAGATAACTGGGTGGGACGATTAGTTTGTATCGCTTCTGCTCTGAGCACCTATTGACTTCTCTTTGCTCACATCAGCTGAGCATTTCAGAGGTAGAAATGATGGGAAGGTTGGTGAACCAACTGAGGGAAAGCAGAGAAGTACTAGCCGATTTTATTTCAAGGCCTGGATCTGTCTCTACAAATAAGATGACAGATTGAGAAAACGAAGCAGAGATTGCAAGGGCATAGGCTAAAGCCAAAAGCAAAGCGAGATCTTCACCATCTGCTGTGTCTCCTGGAACACGTATGACTCATGAGTAGTGTTAGCCCTGCTCTGAAAGGGCAAAGAGTGGCTGACTGGGTTATGTGCTTCAAAAGTGGAAAAGCAGGGTGTGCAAATTGGAAAAATAAAACAGAGTACGAACAAACAAAATCTTCAAGGTGGAAAAATCAACACTGAAAAAATTAAACTAAGGTCATGGCGTTCCTGGGGGCCCATTCCCTACTCTAGCTTTGAGGAGCTTGAACCTCCTTGCTGTGGTCATTAGGAAGAGTGTGGGAGGCAGTGTCCCTTCCTTCCATTGCCTTGTCAGGATCTTTCAGCAAACAGGAATAGGAACGATGCTGGCCCACAGAACTCCAGAAGCTTTTAAGCAATAGCAGCAATGGGCTGGGGCTCAGAGGTTAAGAGCATACTGCTCTTGTAGAAGCCCTGAGTTTGGTTCCCAGTACCCACGTGACAGCTCACAACAACCTGAGACTCCAGTTCCAGCAAGATATGATGCCTTTAGCCTCTGAGGACACCTGTACCCATACATACATACCACCCCCCCCATAATTAAAAGTAAAAGAAAGAAATCGCAACAAGAACCCAAGGATGATGTGATAGGCAACTTCAGGACCACTGACACTCCCCAAATGCTGTGCCCCATGTAGTTGCTCCTCAAAAATTCCTGTAAGGGGCTCTAGCTATCAAATAAAAAGCATAGCTCAAAGTTTGTTATTTTCCTGAAACAGTGTCCCAGGATGGAATAGAGTCCTTCAAAGCACGTGTGTATGTCTGCCCGATCCTGTATCTCATATGTAGGATGCTTACAAAACTCGGCATGCTGCTTAAACGCAGCAGGTCCACCAATACCTCTGAGAGAAGATTCTTGTTCAGTACTCTAAAATACACATAGTACTTTCCATCTAGTTAGAATTTTCCAAATGTGTCTCCCTCTCCTCAAATTGTACAAACACCCCGTTTTTGGCTCTGAGTCAGGAATTGTGTTTACCAGTGTATATCAGCAACCACCTTATTCCCAAGGAGACGGTTTAAATATGCAGCAAACATCGTTTGAAAGCAATAAGTAATATGGTCTTTTGCAGAATTAGAGCAAGCAAAGCTTTCTCAGGTGACTTCCCCTAAGGGAAGTCTTCATGGTTCGTTGCCCTTGATTAAATTCTTAGGAGCTTTCTGCCTCTCTCCAGATCAGTCATTTGTCCTTGAGGAGTGAACTTGGTAAATGTAACTGCTATTAGTGTCTCATGGGAAAAAATCTTCATGAAGTTTGGACCCATGGAGTTGAAGTCCAATGATGAGATGTTCAAAGAGATTAGAGGATCCTGGTCTTGAGGTTAGAGGTATAATCAACGTTTCAGGGACTAGGGTATTCTGATGTTGTTGCGGGGGCGGTGAGTCACTGATGAATTATGCATAGAGTATAGAGAGTTTGAATTGAATTCAGAGATAAGGCATAAACCCAGTCACGGGACCATGTTAGAGGACCC